GGCTCCCCAACAGGAGAGCTCAATCACTGTAAAGGCCAGGAAATAAGCAAACACCATGAGTAAAAAGAAATGTATGACAGATTCTTATTATGGGAAGAGTGAAGATCAAGGCAGAAATTCTGAAGAGGACAACATTGTTAACAAACTCACATCTGGAACCTCAAAAGGGAATATAAACTGGTCTGAAGCCCAAAAAACCTTCTTAGAAGAGCTCAAGAAGGATTTTAAAAAGTCAAATGAGAGAAGTAGGAGAAAGAATGGGAAAAGAAATGAGAAGTATGCAAGAGAGAGTCAATAGCTTAGAAAAGGAAGGACAAAAATTAGCTGTAGGAAGATCTTGTACCTGTGCAAGACTTGTGCACTGAGACGCTTTTGGAACAGTGTTCAGGAGAAACAGGATGGGGATGTTCCGGTGACTGCACAGATTCACAAAGTTACTGCCTTTGAGGGAGGCCTGGTGGGTTAGCTCCCCATTGCTCGCCACCAGGCCAATTAGATGCCTGGTAAAACAAAGACAAAAAAGCAAGACTCCATTTTTTGTGCTTTCTGTGTAGGCCACTGACATGTGAGAGGAAAATGCCATAGACGTATTGCCATTTGCAGCTGTGGCAGGTGGGATAAAGTCACTTTGATGTCAAGGCTCTGCCCTTATGTGTGCTATATCAGATAGAGTATTGGTGTAACACTCTGGCTCTGCAATAAGGAAGACCTGAATTCAAATCCAGCCTCAGGCACTTGGTAGCTGTGTGAGCCTGGTCATTTAAGCTTTTCAGCCCCAGTTTCCTCATCTGTACAATGAGGAAAATATAGCACCTACCTCCCAGGGTTGCTGTGACAATCACAGGCAATAATATTTGTAAAGTGCTTTGCAAACTGTTAATTGCTAAAAAAAAAAAAAAAAGTGAACTATTTTTATGATCAACCAACCAGCAAACATTTATGAAACAACTACTATTACGCCAGGCATGGGGTGAGGCCATCTTTGCTGTCAGGAAGCTTACACTCTACTGAGGTCCCAAAGGTGCATCACGCTACAAGAGTGTCTGAACAAGGTTCTAGAGTTGGAGGCACCTCACAGGAAGCCAAACTCACCCTCCTCATTTTGTGTAGAGGAAATAGCCACGAGGAGGCTGACATGTCCCCAGCCAAGTCAGAGGGGGCTCAGGTTCAGCACCACCTAACACTGGCCTGAAATACATTTAATCTGAGCCAATCAATCCTAGTCTTGGCAAACTGTCAGTCTGAATGACTGACATTTCTGGGTCCCTGTCAGTCACTGCACCCCCGGGACGGTGGCTGTCACTGCTTCTTCTACAAGTCAAAGGTAGAGGAATATTGTGGGTAGACAAAGCCTAAGTCACTATGACTGGCTGTCTCCATGTGTTGTCTGCGCCCACACTGGAGAATCCTCTAACTCCTGACACAGTCTGTTATCCTTTTTGACAATTTTCACAGGTAGGAAGTTCCACCTTAAATCAAGCTAACTAGCTTCGACTCCTCGTAAGGTCCATTACACCCGGATCTGCCTTCTGGGGCCAAGCCAAATCAAGAGGAATAACTGTTATAGGACAATCCCTCAAATATCTGAAGTCAGAGATCAAGCCCGCCCCTCAAATTTCCTCTTCTCCAGGCTACCCATGCCTTACTAGGACCTTTAGCTGGCCCTCATGTAACATGAACTCAGGGCTTTCCACTACCCTGGTCATTCTCCCCTGGACAAAACCTAGCTTATCGAAGCCCCATCTTATCAATGGCTTCTTTGGCATTCTTCAGGTCCGTGCTAAATATCCCCCCTTCTACAGGAAGCCCTGCCCAGCCCTCTGTCCCCCAGTGGATTATCTTCAACTAATGCAGTGTGGATCTTGTTTGTACAAAGCCCCTTGAATATTCTCTCTTCCATTTGACCGAGTTCTTTGAGAGTAAGGGCATCTTTTACCTTCCTTGGTTTTCACAGCACTTAGCACGGCACCTAGCACATAATAGGTGTTTTAAAAAATGCTTATTTAATTGACTGGACTACCTAAAATGTGGCTCCTAAAGCCAAAGATCTCCCTCCAGATGTGGTCTGACCAGGGGAGACAATGAGGAACTCCATCCCCTTCCCAGTCCTGGACACTTGAAGGCAGCTCTCTTATCCTTTCCAAGTCTTCCCTTCTCCTGTCGGTAGCACAGTCACCCTATCTGGGGTGCAGCATGGTATCATGGGGCATTGCTCTTGGAGTAGAAAATCTGAGTTCAAATCCCAACTCTCACATTTACCTAAGCCATTCGCATAATTTCACTGAGCTTCAGGTAAAACACCATATAAATGTGAGCTGTTATACTTTTACCACATTATTACAATAGCTGCCTGTGAGCTATTACATGAGCACCAGCCTGCAGCACAAGATTCATCGCCAAACAGGCACAAGCATTTATTCAGTGCCCACTATGTGCTATTTCACTGGGAATACAATGACAAAAAATGAAACAGTCCTTCCTATCAGGGACAGGCATTCTGTCCTCAGCTAAGTAATCATTCAGGTAGTCAATAAGCATTTATTAAGTGTTTATTACTAGGAAGGAAGGAAGGAAGGAAGGAAGGAGGGAAGGAAGGACGGAAGGAAGGAAGGAAGGAAGGAGGGAAGGAAGGACGGAAGGAAGGAAGGAAGGAAGGAGGGAAGGAAGGAAGGAAGGAAGGAAGGGAGGGAGGGAGGGAGGAAAGAAGGAAGGAAGGAAAGAAGGAAGGAGAAAAAGAGGGAAGGAGGAAGGAAGAGAGAGAGGGAGGGAGGAAGTAACTGTGAAGGTCTTACCATGTACCAGGCACTTTGCTTAGCACTGGGGTTACAAATATGAGCAAAAATAAAGGCTGTGTCTCCCCTCAAGGAGCTCGATATCTGCCCACCATCCCCTTTCATCTCTAAGCTTTTTGTTTACTTTTTCGTTAAGGGGGAGCAGGAAGTCGAGGCCGAAAAGGACAAGAGAATCAGTAACTGGATTCGCAGGTTGGTTTGAGGGGCTCACAGACTCGCATCTCCTCATTGACCATGCCTACACTCAGAATGCCCCTGTTTCCTTTCCTCTGTCTTCAAATGAACTGAAAAAAAGGAGTGAGAAGCAGGAAGGCAGAGACACCCTTGCCAAAGCAGAGCCACAGTCATCTCTGTCCCTGAAATGAGCTGGTTGCTTTGGAAACCGTTGCTGGTGGATGAAAAATCCCTTTGCTGCCAACTTTGCTTCTCCCACACGCTCAACTCACATTGTGTCCCTGCCACAGACCTGCTTCATAGACTGTTCCCAGCTGGAGCCTGGAAAGGATCCCCAGGGCTCCCAGGATGGCGAGGGGGCAGCCAACAGGAAGGCTTTATAGGAACTGTCAATGCCACCCCTCCCCCCAACCTCCCCCTGTTTCCATTCCCCTGCATCACAGGGAGGTTTGTTGTTAGACAGCTGCCCCAACTGAAAACAAGAAAGCACCAGGCTGATCCCCAGTGCCTGTTTTCTAAAAACATCTTTCCTGGTACTCTAATGAGAAAAAAAACTAAAATGAGGGGAAAGGACCGTTTTGAGAGCTCCAAAAATAATTTGTTTTAAATTACTTTGGGGAAAGCATGTTATTTTTCAGCTTTTGAATGCTAAGAGTAAAATATACAACTGAATAAAATTCAAACATAACATATACAACTCACTGAGATGTCACTAGAATCAAACTGACTACAGATTTATACCTTTTTATTACTAAAGGGAGCTGGGGTAGGAGAGAGAACAGATACAAGAGAGACATTGTATAACAAGGTCAAGGGAAGAAGAACGGAAGTCTGAACCTGGAGAGAGATAGGTTCCTCCTTTGTTCACACTTAATTCTCCTTTCAAGATCAAAACATTCAATGAACTAAAAGACCTACAACTTTGGACTGATTTGCTAGTAATAAGCTTTTATGAGTTTGCATGTGGTGTGGGGATTTTTTTGGATCAGACCTGTGATTTCATTAGTGTAGGCTATAGGGACTCAGAGGTCATCTCATCCAACCCCTTTGTTTTACAGATGAAGAAAATGAGGCACAGGGGTTTTGGTAACTCTTAAAATCCCACAAGTCATAAACATCAGAAGCAAGGTTTGAACCCATGTTCTCCAACTGCAGAGCTGGTATTCTTTCTCCCATACCACATGAGAAAAATCCTTCTACCAATGCAGATATCCATTTGTTCTGCAGCTTACAGTCTTCTAGAACTGCCTGAGATAGGTGGTACAATGGATAGAACTCCGGGCCAGGAGTCAGGAATACCTGAGTTTAAACCCAGCCTCACTAGCTATGTAACCCAGGGTAAGTCACTTAATCCTGTTTGCCTCAGTTTCCTCATCTGTAAAATGAGCTGGAGAAGGAAATGTCAAATCACTCTAGTATCTTGCCAAGAAAACCCCAAATGGGTTCATCAAGAGTTAAATACAACTAAAAATCCCAAACGGAGTCACAAAATGTCAGATATGACTGAAAAATGATTGAACAACACCTCAGAGAGTTGTCATTAGCATCAAATGAGATAATTTTAAAGCACTTTAGCACAGAACACAATAAGCACCATATATTATTGTTGTTATTGTTAAAATCAAATCACCTCCCACCTCACCTAAAGATAAGATGTTATACCTTGTTACCTTAGCTAGGTAAGAGCACATTATCTATCAATCAAAGGCTTAGTCAGACCAAGTACAAAAAACCCTTGGAAGTCATTGGATGAACTGAAGTGAACTGGCCAGAAGTCTTTTGTGGTTGAATGAGGAACTTGGTCACATTCTAGGGAGAGGGAGAGCTGCTATAAAACCAAGAGCTTCCAGGAATGAGGAGGTGAAATATCCTGAGTACTCTGTCCTGATCAGACCAAAATTGGAATATTGTGTGCTTTTCTGGGCACCAACGAGAGAGTGTCTGGAGGAGGGCATCCGGGATGGTAAAGGACATTTAGTCCATGTTGCAGGGAGATTAGTTGAAGAAACTAGGGATGAAAAAGGTTCAGGGAAGGAGATCATAGCACAAAATCTGCATGTAAGTACTTGAAGAGGGATTTGGGTTACTCTGGTTGGACCCAGTGGTAAGAAGCAGGGACATGGGTTTAAGTAGCAAAGTGGCACATTGAGACAAGGTCAACAATTAAAGCTGTCCCTAAGTGGAATGGGCTGTCTCCAGAGTGCGTCCCTTCTTAGAAGTCTTCAAATAAAGAACAAGTGACCACCTGTCTTCTTATATGATGGAAATTTCTTTTTATCAAGTATAGTTTGGACTAGATGGTCACTTCCAACCCTGTTATCCTGTAACAAGTTGACTTTCTTCTTTTGGAAGCTGGACTGTCTTCTCTTCACACCCTTCCCTCATCCAAATCCTGGATATACCCTTATGATGAGATGCACCATGGCGTAGTCAACACAGCATCATGGACTCACAGGTTTATAGCCAAAAGGGAGCTTACAGGTCACCTAGTACAACCCCTTCAGAGATGACAGGACTTGAAGCCAGGAAGAGCTGTGTTCAAATCTGGCCAGTTACACTTACTAGCTTTGTGACAATGGGAATGTGACTTAACCTCTCTAAAAGCCCTCAGAGGGCCCTAGGGTGAAGCATTGAAAGGCTTACCCTTTCACATGAGCAAATCCTGTTACCAAAGTTGTTCCATATTCAGCTTTAAATTCCTGGAATCGACTCCCATCAAACAAACGACTCAGAATCTGCAAAAGGCATGAATATGAACAGTCTATAAATGATTGCTAGCACAACCAGTCAGTATCCCTTGATTTGCAAAACAGCAAATTTAAGCTAAGCCAACTAGAAGCAAAGTGTGTTTTTTCAATAACTTCCATTATAAAATCATATACAAATATGTCTTTTAAAAAGACATGCAATTTTGGCAGCACTAGAGACTCTGGGTGTGAAGAATTCCCTCTACCAAAATTACCACTTATCTGTGACTAGGTAGTTTATTTTCAAAAGATCCTAGATTGAGGCAGAGACATGTAGTAAATGGAGACTTGGAGTCAGGAACTGGGTGGAAGTCTTGTGTCTGTCCTGTCCTTAATGCGTGTGCCTGGGCACGTGACTGAATCTGTCAGTTTTCTAAGCCAGTAGCATCAAACGTTTTGAGGACCTTCCTCTACATTTCCTGATAATGGTTAGATAACAATTGAATATATCTTATCTAAGGATGGGACCTTAGACTTAGAACTTGGAAGGACTTTGAAGGTTATTTTGTCTGACTCTCTCATTTTACCCATGAGGAAACTGAGGCCCCATAAAGGTTGTGACTTACCAAAGTTCACACAAATAGTCATCAGGAGTGGGATTTGAACCCAGGTCTTCTGCCAGAGTCTGAGATCTTTCCAGTATACACCAGTTATTTTCTATTCTTACATCATCATCATCATCATCATCATCATCCCTAGCATTCACCTCAAGCTTTAAGATTTGTGAAGTGCTTTACAAATATTTTATTTTATCCTCACAAAAACCTTGGGAGGGAAGTGGTATTATTAACCCCATTTTATAGATGAGGAAATAAAAGCAGACAGAGGTTAAATGAATTGCCCAGTATCAAGGCTAGACTTGAACTCAGGTCATCGTGACTCTAGGTCTGGAGCTCTAGCCCATTCTTTATTCTGGTCATGGATTTTTTTTTTTTTTGACAGCATGCTTTTATGTTTCTCCAGTATAATTCCTTGGATGTAATGGTCCTTGACAGGCTTACACCTGCCATGTGCTTCCCTACTGCTCTTTGGGTGAAGGTCAACTTCAATTCTTCAGGGACTTTGGAGTTCCATAACTCTCAACCAAACAGCATTGCCAGCATGTTGTTGTCAGGAAGGAGGTAGGTATTCATTTCACTTCAAAGTAGTGTTTAAAATGGGCTCAAAGGACTGGGGTGCTACACCACTCTTTGCCAGTGGGTGTCGCCATCTACCACAAGACCGACAAGGACCTAAAAAAATCTTTCACTATATCTATATCTATATCTATCTATATGTGTACACATATATGTGTGTGTATATATACACATATATAGAGAGAGCCATTTTGTCAATTCTGTAAATTTAAAATTCCTATTAAAATATTGTAGAAACCCATGAAACAGAGAAATAAAAAATGTCACTCAATCCTGCATCTAGCTACTTTCTGCTCCTGCAGTGACGGTGGCAGAGGGATGGGAAATGGAGGCAAAAGATACTAAATAGTGGAGCCATGAATTGGTCCAGACATTCTGGAAAGCAATTTGGAGCTATGTCATCCAAAAAATCACAAAGGACCTCAAAATAAATCTTGGTACTCTGAAAGTGAAATCCATGTCCAACAACTAATGAGTGGACACATAACTGGAAAAGATGAGTCGTATCAATTTTGACTTTGTAGCTACAAACAAAACCAGAAGAAAAAAGAAAGCCACTAGTAAATGGAAAGATGGATCACTGGTATTCCTTGGAGGGGCAAAGAAAGGAGTTGTCAGAGTGGGTTTTATCATATACCCAAAGGCGACAAAAAACATTATTTCATGGACAATTTAGTCGTCATTCAGTAATCAAGATGAGTACTTACAAGAAGACCACCTTGAAAATAACTGCAATTTGTGCATTACCATTGGTTGCTAAGGATGGAGCAGTAGTGAAAATCCATGAAGAACTTGATAAGACCCTCCAAATGAAATTAACATACCCTCTGATACTCTGTGATTTCAAAACAAAGGTGGGAAAAGGTGAGGAGGGGGGAGAAGGGGGGGAAATACATGGGAAGGCATGCTTCAAGAAGAAGGAATAAAAGGGGTGAATGACTTATAGATTACAAAGAAGATTCATTGCTCTATATCATGAATGCCTACTTTAAGAATTTGTAGGAATAAATGAATGAGTGAAAATGTGCCAGGCACTGCTCTAAGCCTTGCTAATAGAAAAGTAATAAAACAAAATAGTTTTTGCCCTCAAAGTGCTTATATTCTAATGGGGAAAAACAACACACAAAGAGAAATAATGAAAAAAATGGGAAGGAAGGGAGCCTAGCAGTATCCTGATCTCAAACTAGACTACAAATCAGTAATCATCAAAATGATTTTTGATTAAAAAAAATAGACGTATCTATTAGTGGAACAGATGAGGTGTGTGAGCAAATGAATCTAGTGGCCCAATGTTCAAAAACCCAAACATTTCCTAGTGAAACAAGGAAGGGCTCACTTCCTATTGCACAAAAGTGCTAGGAGAACTGGGAAATGGAAGGGTGGAGGTAGGGACTGGCAGAAATTAGGTATGGACAAAATTTCACACAACATAGCAAGATGTTGTTTGTCCTTCATTTTCTAGTGACTAGTGACATCACAGGGCGATGTCTTGACTTGTGTATGAATTGAATTTAAGCGAGGCAGAGCTGCACGAAGTCATCAGCTTCACTCTCTCTTGCAAAGTCATCAAAGTCTAGTGGCAAGATCACAGTCAGGATCACTGGTGTTGGCCCGGGATGCAGTGGATGGCATTAGTGTCTTCTCTATCTGACCAAGCTCTAAGTGCTCCACGGAGCTTCAGCTGCCTTTGTGACCATTGAAACAAATTCTTCCCACCCACTTATTCCACTGGGGGAAGTGTTCAAATACTTGGGATAGATATCCCCTTAACTCACCAACAGGTTTGAGGCCCTTGGATTGCCCTCAACCTGGTTTATTTAGTTCATCTGCTGAGAGGGTTTAGCAGGGTGTGGCCACTGTGCATGCCACAGGGACAGTTCAGTGCATCAGGTGGACATCAAAGGTGGATGAGTAGCCCTGAAAAGGGCGCTGCAAGACTTCACACCGGAAGTGCTATCCCAGTTAACTTTCACTTTTGATTTCAATAATAACAATAGCAGTCATGGAGCACTTTAAAATGTGCAGTCTGTTGTACAAACATCATTTCATTGGAAGTTAACTGGGAGGGGAACCCTCTTTGTAGCAAGTTTCTCTAATAAGGGTCTCATTCCCGTAACATATAAAGAACTGATTTGATTTTGCAAATACACAATTGATAAATGGCCTAAGGATATGAATAGGCAGTTTTTAAAAAGAAGTTTTAAAAAATGCTGCAAACTGGTGGTACAATGGATATAGTGTCAGGCTTGAAGTCAGGAACACCTGAGTTCAAATCTGCCATCAAATTTTTATTATGTGACCCTGGGCAAATCACTTAAAAAAACTTTACCCTAGTTTCCTTAATTGTAAAATGGGGAAAATAATAGCACCTACCTCTCGGTATGGTTGTGAAGATCAGACAAGAAAACATTTGTAAAGCACAGTGCCTGGTGTATGTTAGGCATTTAATAAATATTTTTCTTTCCCTTTTTGAAAATATTAGTTCTCCTCAATTTCTTCACTTGTGAAATTCCCTCCCAGCTCTAAACCTATGAAACATGGAAAATAAAACAAAACTTTGGAATAACAATCAACTGGCCAGTCAACTAGCATTCGTTAAAATCCACCGAGTGAGAGGCACTATCTTGCAGCCTTAGACAGCAGAGAGCGGTCTTTTGGTACAAGTGAATTTGGCATTTGAAGTAAGAAGCTTCTTGACATTTTCACATTTTTGGATTCGGTGATCTCACAGATGTGGGAATGTGCTCTGCTGATACACACTGCATCCCATGATGTTTTAATACGTAGAATATTCAAAAAGATCTGAGATCTCATTATTCTGAGAAATCCCTGCGTGAGTCAGGTTGCAACCCCCAAGCTGCCACAGAGGTAATAAGAAGGAAAGATGGGATTCTGACATAGGGTCAGTATTCTTTCCACTGTCTTTTTCATTATCATTAACCTAAACATTTGGCACATGCATGACATATTTTCTCATTAGATCCACAAGATACTTGTCCTTTTAAAATGGAACCACTCCTTATTAAAGGGATTGATCCCAATCACAGAACCCTTCCTTGGCTTACCAGTTTCACATCTAGACTACATTCGTAATTCTGTGGGGCCAGGTTTTTCAGCTCTTCTGGGCTGTATAAGGGCTCATCGTACTTCACAGACTCTCCAGGGCACTGCCCACAGTTGAAGGTCATCGCAACATTCCGAACCCGTTCATAGGCTTCTTCCTCTGTAGATGTAATATAATCAACACCGCCACTGACTCTAAGAGGAAAAGAGGTTAGGGAATGATAAAAAAAAAAATCACATTTCAACACACCAAAAAAAGTAATTCGCAAAATCCAAGCCATAAATCATACTTCAGTATTTTCATGGCTCTGTGATCTCAACCCTGTAAGGTCTCATTCAAATATCTCAGGCTACAACTCATCTGTGGTATCCAGGGGCCTTGATTTATAGCTGGAAGGGACCTCCAGGGCCCTCTAGCCCTCTCATTTTTCATATGAAAAAATTGAGGCCTAAGAATGTGAAATGACTTGCCCAAGGACATACAGATAGCAGGACATGACCTCCCATGAATTATCCATGAGAGGCTTTCTACTCAATGGACCTTTCCACTCCAGGACCTTTATTCTAAATATTAATATCACGTACTTATCCATCCAGCCGTTTGGCATGCCTACTATATACAAGCTACTTTACTAGGTGCTTGGGGGAACAAACAAAATGATGAAATGCTCCCTGCCCTCAAGGAGTTTACATTCTTCTGGGAGAATGAAGCATGTAAATGGATCAGAAGATACCAAGTATGCAGAAAGTGGTATTAAGAGTCAGTGCTTATTTACAGCCAAAAGGGTCAGGAAAGACTTTGTGGAAGACCATAAGATCAGAGCTTCAGAGCTTCAGAGCTAAAAGTGACCTCAGATGCCATCTTCAATCTCCTCTTTCTGCAGATGAGGAAACTGAGGCCCAGGCAGGTGAGATGATTTGTCTGAGGTCAAATAGGTGGTAAATGTCTGAGGCAGGATTTGGATTTGGGTCTTTGTGACTCCAAATCCAACACTCTATCCACTATGCCACTTAGGTATATGAAGGGAAGAAAGGGAAGTATTATCAAATAAGACTGGGAAAATCAGGTGGGAGCCATTATCTGTGGAGGGCTTTAAACATCAGGCTGAGAGAACAATCTTTTGTCCCTACCGAGAATGCACAATGGCTCCTCCTAGTTCTTCAACAGAAATGTCTTCTCCTGTAGCAGCTTTTACCAGAGGAGGTCCAGCAAGAAACATGGAGCCAATGTTGTCTATGATTATAGATTCATCGACCATACTAGGACAATAGGCAGCCCCTGCAACGCAAGAACCACACACCACTGCCACCTAGGGAGAATAGGAGACTCACATAGGAACATGAATCTTCAACTGTTAAGACCGCTATTAACCCCTCTCCCAAGGAGCCATCTTAACAGCCTTTCATATACAGTTTTCTGATCCAATAACCAAGTTAGAGATATCATTGGATTCTAAGGTGTTACAAAGGAAGTCTTTATAAAACCTAAAAGATATCAACAGTTTGCTGGTACTTTTGAAGAGCCATCTTTAAAATGCATATATCGCAACATATAAAAGTCTGAAACATTTTTCAGATAGACAGATAGACAAAGCATTTATTAAATGCCTACTATGTTCCAAGCACTCTACAAACAAGACAGTGCCTGCTCACAAGGAGCTTGCATTCTAAGACAGAAGACAATACCTAAAAGAGAGCTAGGAAACAGCGAGGTGTGGGAAGGGAGGAGACCTGCTACTTCTTCGCTGCACTGGCGAGTTACCTGAGGAATCTTCATAGAGGACATGAGGGCTATATTGTAGAAAACCCTTCCACCATGGTACTGATCTGGGAAAATCTCTGCCTAGAAAAACAAAAATACTGATATAAAGAAAGATCTTCATTAGAGGGAGACATGATAAATTTTCAGATATGGCCCCTTCTAGAGATCAATGAATTACCAGTGAATTAAAATAAATTACCATTCTATTAAAACAGAATCTGGTAAATCTTTGTGATCGCCTATATAATAAGGGGACAGCCATATGGACAGTAGAGATGTTGTTCCTAAATCTGAATATAGGAGCTTAGAGAGCAGAGTCTGGTTCAGTTTTAAGTATGAGAGGCAGCATAGCAAAGTAGATAGTGGACTGGCCTTGGACCAGGAAGGTTGAGTTGCTGTCCAGTCTCTAAAATACACTGGCTCTATGGCTGGTCAAATCACTTAACCTCTCTGTGCCCCAGGCTATTTTCTGAGATAATGAATTGCAGAATCGGTACAGGAAGTTTCCACATTTGGGAGTCCTCAATACCAATTAATTACAAATCCAATTCCTAACTCACTTTAGAACAGAGTAGATGCTTAAATTTTGGATTGGATTTCCTTTAAAACAAAAAGCTTTTAAAAATGGGAGCTATTTTAATGAACAGTCCTCCAAAAAAGTCTGGTTAAATGAATTAAAGACATTCTAGCTAAATAATTTGATCATTCTCTAGTATCGAAGATGAAAGTTGCTTCTGTATGCATTTGAGAATGAGTAGGCTGAGCTGTAACCAGAATGTTTTGTACCCTGTGCAAGCTTCACAAAGTACAATTGTAGCCAGCAACATGAAAGGAAACTTAAATTACTTTTAAAATACAAATTTGTTGGGGGGAAGGAACAGAGATCCCAAAGAAAGAACATGCCACAGTTGGGGGTAGAAGCCTTGCCCTGGGATCCAGTGGGGAAGAAAGTTAGTATCTAGTTACTTTTCTTCCAGGGAATTTCCAGTGTAGAAACTCCTTCCATCAATTCAGATTAGTGACCCATGTGTTACAGTGGGGATACTGAGAGGTTAAACGACTTTTCAGCCCGTGACCACACAGCTAGTTTATGTCAGAGACAGGTGAGGAACGCAGGTCTTCCTGACTGAGACCAGCCAGCCCATTACCCACTATGTAATTCTATCTGTCTGCTGGTTCCTATTTCAGTCAGTTATTTTTGCTAAAATGGTGCTAAGATTGGCGGTTTCTTTGCTACTGAAAAAGTACAAAAGTTGTTGGCATCCTTTATATTTCAGCACTTTGGGAAAAGGTCTGCTTACCTCACCCTAGTTATGGTTCAGGTGGCAGGTATCTACTAATGGGTCAAAACTTCTGTTTGTTTTAAAAATTCATCTATGTCATCTATTGTTTATCTGTCTGTCCGTTCATCTGTTTGTCTCTCATCTATCATCTTTTCATCTATCTTATCTATTTCTGCCTCTTCTAGCTTTTTCTTGGTTCTCTTAGAAGCACCTATTTCGTTCTATCTGAAAATACTTTATTTTCATCAAGAAGCTGGAGAATAGTGAGGTGTTACGTAAGCCATCTTCTCCTCTAAAAGGGAGACTAGCCCAAGCTTTGTGCATACATGGCTATTATTTGCCACTAGCAGAAATACAAATACAGTAGGCTCTTTGCCTACAGTAGGCTCTTTGCACGTCACTGCAAAATTCACTGGGCCATTTTTACTTGATGATGGTGGGTCTCAGTGTTCTTTCACTCTTCTTGGTTAACTCTTATAGTAAACTGCCATGGCAAACAGATTGCTGCAAATGGTCAATCTCTCCCCAGTCACTGGGGGCTCCTGAGTGAGATTCTATTTATATTAAGCCTTTCTTTTTTTGTGGTCATAGGACAGCTTGCTCTGTAGCCTTTGATTCCTAATGACTAAATTTTGGATGGATTTTTAATGCAAACAGAAATTTCCCTCCACTGATGTCCTCGATACCTCATGTAGAAAGAAAGAAAAGTATAAAGATTATGACATTTACCTAATTATACCCAATGATCTATGTACCCTATTCTTGGAACACTCTCACACTCATGTCTACCTCATGGACTCCCTTACTTACTCCCTTGAGTGACCAGCTGAAGCACTACATCCTCCATGATGCCTTTGCTGATGCCCCACCTGCTTGCACCTCTCTCCCCATTACCTCCTATTTATTTTGTATCTATGTAGTGTATACTTACATATGTACATATTGTTTTCCCAATGGAATCTATGCTCTTTGGAGATGTAGGCTGTTTCATTTTGGTCATTGTTTCCTCAGGACTTAGGGGGCATATAATAGGTGCTTCATAAGTGCTCATTGATTTAATGTTCTGGGAAACCATTCTGAACAGTACCTGTAGGGGCAGAAATGCTCCTCCACTATCCACCAAATACACAGTTGGCAAACGGTTCATAATTGCGATATTTTGAGCACGGAGTTGTTTCTTCACGGTGATGGGGTAGAAGGTTCCTCCCTTCACTGTGGCATCATTGGCAATTAACATGCACCACATTCCACATATTTTCCCAATTCCTATGGGATAATGTATATTTGGCTATTTAAACAAGGAAAATCTTCTAACTTAGAAATTAATGCCTAAACCCAGACATCGGTCCATTTAAAAGGTGCCATCGTCTAATGATTTCATTGTAGTTAATGTCATTTCCCACACTCTGGTGTAAGGTCCTCCAAGAGAATGGAAACACCTTGAGTGTAGCAAAGGTTTCCTATTTGTGTTTGTTCTCCTAAGTACTTCTTGACCTCTCTGCAGCCTTTGACCCTGGTACTCAACCTCTTCCTGAAACTCTCTCCTCTCTAGGCTTTAAGTAATCCCACCTTCTCCTGATTCTCCTCCTCCTTGTCCTGCAGACCACCCTTCAGTCTCCTTGGCTGTATCTTCATCCGGGTTAGTCCTATCCCTCCCAGTCTCTTTTCCTGGGCCCTCATCTCCTTCCCAGATGTTATTTCATTTAATAATCTCATCAGATCTTGTGAATTCATCATCTCTGCATTCCCATCATCTCTACATAGTGCTTAGAATACAATAGGCACTTAATAAATGCTAATTGACTGTGTTGAAAATTTTCATGTTTACTAATCCTACCCTATCCTCTCTGCTGACTTCCAGTCTTGCATCTCTAGCTACCTAGTAGACATCTTAATCTCAACATATTCAAAACTGAACTCATGTTTCCCTTCAAATCCACACCCTGTACTCCAATTTCTCTGTTATGTCGAAGACAACACCATCCTCCCAATCCCTGGGTGTTGACCTCAACTCATCACTCTCTCATCCACCCATCTAGTCAGTTGTCAAGTTGCATAATTTCTCTCTCATTTCTGCCTTTGTAAAATCTCTCATCCACACCCCCCTTCTCTCCTCTGACACTGCCACCATGCTGGTACAGGCCCTCATCACCTCCTTCTTGGAGTATTGCAACACCCTGATGATGGCTCTCCTGCCTCGTCTCTCCACATTCCTATTTACCTTCCACTCAATTGCCAAATTGATCTTCCTAAAGCTTATCAGTGCCCCTCCATTCCATAAACTCCAGAGGTTCCCTGCTAACTCCAAGGACAAATATAAAATCATCTGCCTTTAAATAACCTGGCCCTTTCTGCATTTCCAGTCTTCTTACATCTTACTCCCCTCCACAGACTCAGCAAGCCAGTGACATTGACCTCCTTGCTGTTCCTATTTCATCTCTCAACTTCAATTCCGCAAATTTCCCTGGTTGTCCTCTATTCCTGAACCTTTTCCAGCCTTATCTCTGCTTTCTGGCTTCCTTCCAATCTTTGCTAAAGTCCCACCTTCTGCCAGGAGCCTTTCCCAATCGTTCAGAATCTTGGTAACTTCTCCCTGAGACTATCGCCAATTTCTTCTGTCTGTATCTTGTTTGTACATAGTTGCTTGCATGTTGTCTCTGCCGTTAGACCGGGAGTTCATTGAGGACAGAGATCATGTATGTTTTTGCCTTTCTTTGAATCTCTACTGCTTTGCACAGTACCCAGTCCACAGGAGATGCTTAATAAATGCTTGTTGACTGACAAAATGTGGAGAAGCTCATCATCAGTAGTCTGGCCACTTGATGGATTATTTAGTCATGAGAACCCATGAAACAAAGAAAAATGCAAAATAACCCTTGGTCCTCTCCTAAAGATGAGAAGAAACATAAATTCATAGAATGTCTAGGTTATCTTATATAGCAGCATTCTTGATAAGTTGTAAAAAGGCCACTTCGAAGATAATAATAATAGCTAGGATTTCTATAGCACTTCAAGGCTTGCAAAGCACTTTAAATGTGCTTATTTGTCAATATCTGTGGTATAGGGTGAAGAAGTGGAGAAATTCTATTAGACCTCATTAAGATCCTCCTTCAAATCCTTCATGGTTTCAAAGAAAGGGTAGGAAGGAATAGGCAAGGACAATGAAAAATGTTAGAAAATATACTTTAGTGTTAAGAACATGGCTATCAGAGATTTGTAGACTTTTTTAAAGTCTAATTGCTCAAAAATGCAGTGTACTTTCTAAAAGAGATAGCAGCACTAGGTGTGGTGAGCATAAAACAGAATCACCCTCACACAAAGGCACTGACTACATCTTAATAAGCAGGTTGTGACTGGTTATCAACGTGGGAATCATTTCTAAATGATCTGTCTGTGTATAATCAGACTATTTCTTAAAGCAAAGATGAAAATCAATACCAAATTAGAAGAAATGATGCCAAATAGAAGATGCGGCATACAACTTCCAACTATTTAAACAAGCTTCTGATGTCAAAAGACAGACATGATCATGGACTATCGCCATTTCCTAAGGAAGTTTCTCCAGTTTAAAACAATAAACAAAGGGAATAGGCCAAAAGAGCCTAGAGAGTCCCCTAGCCAGCAAACGCTTTCTCTCCTTGACAAACTGAGACACATAGAACAAAAAGACAATACTAGTTTAAATATAAACTGATTTGTAAAGTCTTACAAAAAATGATAGACAAAGAAAACATCATTTCAAACTCACCAAAATGGTGAGACAAAGCAGAGAAAGATGACTGTTGACCAATACGACTAAAGGATGTTGAAGCAAAATATTAAATAAAATAAATATTGGCAAAATAAAATAAAAAATTAGCAAAGAAGACAGTAATAAAAATATTTTTAATTGCACATTCTGACCTGATTGTATCAATATCAATAATCACAGGGGCAATTCAACATCAGGTAAACTACAAACATACAAGATCATATTAATAATATCCTTAGAGTATTTAAATATGAAACCAGGAGGAAAATGAAAACTATAAAAATGAGAAGAGTCTGTCGATATTATTATAATAAATTATCCTCTCTATTAATGAAAATGAAGCCATCATATTTGCCTCTACCATCATAGCACACAACACTGGGATGTACAAAAAGTAAGAGAATAAACAAAGATGGAAAGACCACCTGCACTAGACCAAGTATACAGAGAGGAAATTTGTGCTGGAGAGAAGATCTACCACTATAGCTAAATTTCTATATCTGTGTCTATACACATAGACACACACACATATTCTGCCCTCTTTCAGATATTTGGAAACTTGATCCCTCAGCTTCTTATGTATATATACATATATATGTATGTATATAGCTAAATATGTGTATACATTATCTATAATTGTTGTTCATCCTTCATTTTTGTTTTTTGTTTTTGTTTTTTTTTTGTTTTTTTGGTTAGGCAATGAGGTTAAGTGACTTCCCCAGGGTCTGTGTGACTAGTAAGTGTTATGTGTCTGAGACTGGATTTGAACTTAGGTCTTCCTGAATCCAGGGCTGGTGCTCTATCCACTGCTCCACCTAGCTGCCCCCTCATCCTTCATTTTGGAAGAGGACCAGTGGCATCACAGAATGTCTTCACTTGTGTATGAATTGGATTTAAATGAAGCAGAGTTGCACAAAATCATCAGCCTCACTCTCTCTTCCTGAGTCATCAAAGTCCAGTGGTAAGATAAAAGTCAGGATGAGAGGTGATGGCTCAGCATGCAGGAGTGACCTTAGTGTTTTCAATGTCTGACCAAGCTCCAAGTGCTCCACAGCACCTGCTCCAGCTGCCTTCATAGCCGCTGGAATAAACTCTTCTCATCCACCCATTCCACTGGAGGAGGTCTTCACATGTTTGGAGTAGACACCCCCCCAACTCACCAATAAGTTTGAGGCTCCTCAGTTACCTTCAACCTGATTTAGCCTGTCTGCTGAGATGATTTTATCAGGAGGTGACCACTGCACATGCCACAGCTTCTTGGAGCCACAGGTGAGAGCTGGGTGGCAGGCAGATGCCAAAAGTGCAGCCCTCACACCAGAGATGCTAATCCTCCTGAGCACCACATATACCCCATACGCCCCATACATTTTAGGGAATTCCTCTACCTTTTGGACCCCATGCTGGACTTCTTCCACAGCATTGGCAAATGCCTTCTGACTTCCTGTTTCATGTTTCACTTGATATTTCTATTTAGAGAAACAATTTTTCTCTGTGGTTGTATCTCTCCAGAAATCCTTTAAGATGCATGCAAGACACGTGGTTGGAGGAAAGCCTTCAAAGCAGTATATTGCTTGACCAGATCAAATGCCTTTTTTTATGGTCAACAAATGAGAAGCCTCTTCCAGGCAGTTGTGAAATTGTAATGAAGAGGTCTTCTGTAGGAGACCTTTGGGGATTGCCAGGAATCTCTTTTCTTATTTTCATCAGGGATATTCTGGGCACACACATAGATTATTCTAAAGATTTTATAATATAGACATGGGAAGGTAGGCACCTTCCCATGGGTCTATGAGTCTATAGTTATTGATATTTTCTCAATTTTTGGGGGGGTAGTAGTAAAACCCATAATCTTTTCCAAGCCTTTAGTACCTCTCTAGCTTTTAGATATGCTGAAAATTAATCTTTTATTATCCTCAAGTTATAAATATATTGGATGATTTTGAAAATAAAAGTGTATGGCTGCATCTTGAGGATCCTTCAGTATCCTATAAAATATGATTATATATAATGTCACAATGTATATGTCATGATATCATTTAATTCAAATATTACATGACATCACATATACATGTGCATGTATTTGTATGTGTGTATATGTATGTATTTTATAAACATGTGAATATATACATCTATATAGCTACATATACACTGCATAGACATATAGACACATATACCCATATATGCACTATACATATACAATGCCCAGCAGACATCACTGTGGAGAGCAGTTTGGAGAAAGAGTACCTTTTGCCCCCCACCCCTTACTTTGAGGTGAGATGATAGGAAAGTTAATGCCTATTTCTGCCCACTAGGGACCTGCTCAGGTTGTGACCTTCTCCTTAAGGCCTTATTCTACTTTGCCCTCTCTTACCTTGGAAGATGAAGAAAAACCCAAAGGACTCTGGTAAAAAGTCATCTGTCTGCTTAGAGATAATAACATTGGTTCATCAGTATTTGGGTCTAGGACAAAGGTCCTGATCCTACATGATTTCTTTTCTCTACAAAGCTAGAAAACTTAAAAATACAGATTATAAACAAAATTCATAAAAAGCTCTGATCCCAGGAAATCTGCTGATGAACAAACTGGGAAGGTATTGTCTCCATCATTTGAATTTAGTGTGATAAATCATCCACATTTTCCCCTCCCCCCAAACTCTCTATAGAAAAAACATCTACTGAGGACACAATTAAAATTATCTTATTTTTTATCTAGTAAGTCTTTGTCAAAAATGCAGATTACCTAGTACATAAACATTTAAGTAGGTGAGAAACTCTTAGCAATGGATCATCCCATTAGTTGTGTGTAACGGTAAAATAGAAAGAGAATCAGAGCGGACTGCTTCTCCAAGGTGCCTTTATTCAGACACTCTGTGATGGATTCTCTTAATAAAATAAGCAGTGGACTGGGGAAAGGCAAAGGCTCCAGTTACTACAAGGCTTAGAGTCTGTCTCCTGGAAGAGTGCTCCATCTATAGTTACTGCTCCTGCTGCAGATTTTGCTCTCTCTCCAACTCTGTCTCTACCCTCTTTTCTTGCATCCCTTTCCAGAGAGATATTTAAAAGTGTTTCTGTTCCAGAAAACTCTGCCCTCCATCTTCACTCCCTCTATAGCTTCTTCTCTTCCCAGGTTGGTTAGCAGTAGACCTTGTCACAGGGCCAACAGTCCAGGGATTAATCTGATGAGTTTCCCAATCAATGGGATGAGGTTATAGGGTATGGACTTTGGTTTGGAAGAATCTTAAAGGTCTATCCCCATGGCGTGTGAGCATATCTACTGATGCTATACTAATTGGGCTTCAGAGATTGGGACTGACTGCCTCCTGATGACTTTTTTTGACTGAGAATCAATAGCTTCTCCCACTGCTCTATAAGAAGACAATTGAGAACACAGAAGTTTGGCCTTACATGGGAGCCCATGGAGAGAAACAGAGTAGCTTTTCTAGGAGGATTGGTTGAGTTATAGTGGATACATTAGATGAGACTAACCTAGCCTATTCCCTACTGCTGGTCAAAGTCTCAAATAATTTAGTCAACAAAAAAAAAAAAATTGGGGCAGCTAGGTGGCGCAGTGGATAGAGCACTGGCCCTGAAGTCAGGAGGACCTGAGTTCAAATTGGGCCTCAGACCAAACACTTGACACTTACAGCTGTGTGACCCTGGGCAAGTCACTTAACCTCACTTGCCTAAAAACAAAACCAAAAAAACAAAAACAAAAACAAAAACAAAAAATAAATCCTTCCCAAGAAGGCAAGTATTCAACTAGTGATCTGAGTATCACCAAGGAAATTGAAGAGATATACAGTAGCTTCCCTATTTTCAACCTGGAGTTGCAAGGAATACCTATTGTGTTGCTATTTGAACCCTGCTCAGGAAAGATGGCAAAACAAAAGCTTAGATTTCCCAATAGAATCAAGTGAGAGTCAGCTTATTCAACTCACCAGTGAGACAGCCAGCATTTGAGATTGTACCATAGGGTAAATCATAGCCAGCCAGTGGGGAGAGCTCAAAGAAGTCATCATCATTATCCAGAACCAATCTGAGACGGTCACGGACCAGCAACTTGTGGTTGTCTTGGGTATGTCTTAGGATATCCCTTTCTTCTCTTTGGTAGACCTTTCCAAGCAACTCTAAATATCTGTTTGTCCAAAAGATGACAAAGGACCTGTGACAATGTGCTTTAAAAATTTTAGTATGTTTATTACTACTATTATTATTATTACTAGCACTACTACAACAAACCTTTACACGGTGCTTTGAAGTTTACAAAGCATTTTATCTGCATATCCTCCCTTAATTTTTATAATAACACCATGATCCATCATATTGTGGATTTTATCACCATGAGGAAGGACTTGGGCCAGAAAGCAGGCCATAATTTTTAAAGTTGTCAAGGATCATAGAATCACAGAATCATAGATTTAGAGCTTGAAGGAACCTTAGAAAACATCTAGTCTGACCCCCTCTTTTTACACATGAGGAAATTGAGGCTCAGAAAGATTAAGTGACTTGACCAGGGTCACACAGGGAGTAAGCATCAAAAGCTGGATTTTTATCCAGGTAATTTGCCTCCAGATCCATTTTTCTTTTCTATTACCCCATAGTGTTGCATAAAGCTGAGGCTGCTTCAGTGAAATAGGGGACAAAGAGGACATCATTTGGGTATGTTGGGTGAAAGAATGAACCAAGTTGGAGAGTAGAGACTGGACAAACAATTTCTAATAAAGAACATGGATGCTAAAAGGTATTCTTTAAAAATTCTGATACCTCAAGGAGTCAGAGAGGTATTCAATTGAGATAGAAGACACATACATAGTTTGTTATGTTTTGAAGATGTAAGAAAAAAATGAAAATGTAAGTGGAGAGGATACAGTAATAGAATATGGGAGAAGAGAGAGAGGAACTTGTTAAGACACAAAATTGGACTGTGTAAGTAGAACTATATGCCAACATAGAAGGAGTGGGAAGAATAGGTGTCACTTTTAATTCACTTTTATCTAAGCTGGTCAAAGGAGAATAGAATGTACAAACAGAAAGAGAGAGAGGGAGAGAGAGAGAGAGAGAGAGAGAGAGAGAGAGAGAGAGAGAG